CCCTCGTTCAAATTCAGTAGGCTGGAAAGTTAAATTGCTGTTCAAAGACATGTCACACTGTTAAAGGACAAAGGTTCCTATGTGCTTGAGGCACAGGGCAGGCAGTGATCCACGGCTCTTTGTAGGAACAGTGACCACAACACAAACTGCTTCAAGTTGGCAGCTAAATATTAATGACAGCATTGGGTATTCCTGTTCAAGAGAAAATACAGAATATGAAAAGTGGTAAAACTGGACAGCTGCTTAAGGCAAAGAACATTCCATAATCCACATGTGAAGAAGCATGCTGAGGTGAAAATCTCTTATACATCAGCTTGAAAATCAGTCTGATTCATTTTGGAAGAGACGATACAGATATGTGTCAGAGTGGACAGTACAAAATGTTCAGACAACAGCATCCCATTTCCCAAAATCATAAAACAGGTTGTTTTTTGTTTTTTGTTTTTTGTTTTTTGTTTTTAAAAAAACCCTAAACTAAATAAATGCTTGTGACTGTTATATTTTACTTCTAATGCTGCCCTCAGCTTTTGCTTTCTCACCTACTTCACAACATTTCAAGAAGCTGGAACATAAAGTATGAAAAAACAGACAGTTATTACCAACTGCCACAGACTGCAGTATGATTAGACATGAATATCAGTTATGTCTTTGTTAGTGGGTAGTGCAGAATAATAAGGTGGAACAAGCTAAGTCAGATGTCTTCCAAAGCCCAGAATAATAGGAAAAAAAACAGTCACTCCAAAATGAACCAGGAACTTTATCTGCATATTCATGCAGGAAAAATTACCATTTTTCAATGCCATAAGAAAGCAAGCAGACAGTGAACTGATAATATTCACATATGGAATATTAAGTAATACTCCAACTGATCTGTAGCCTGGGTTATTAGTACTTGAAAAGCCAGCTACCCACTGAGGCATGAGACTTAAAGAAAGCTATAAAACATGAACWTTAGCGTCAGAAAGCTTTCGAAGACAGCTTCAATCTCAGAAAGAAAGACACTTTCAATGAAATGCAGCACCTGTGATTTTTGCCATCCAAACTCAGCTTATTCAGGCTCTAAGACAGAATGTTAYACATTCAAATAAAGACCATTTGGCATTCATTCTGTCCCCAAAGTGCTTCAAAGAGCTAACTGAACTGATTTTTGAGGGATCGCAAAGTGATGAAATTTTAATTTTATTCATCTTGGATGAAATTTTAATTTGAATAGAGGCCTTAAAACAGTATAATGAAATACTGATTTATTTTTTTTATATATGCTGACACAGACAAAGTCTCATAACATAAATTTTTTAATAGTACATACTAGCCTGGAAAAAGCTATTTGTAGGGTCTGCTCAACTGCTTTCAACAGTGACTGAGTAGAAGAAAGGCATACTTAAACATATATATCATGATGATATAAGCATATCAGCACCGAGAGACTGATAAAGCCATGGAAGCTACTGCAAAGAGAAATACAACAGGCAATATTCTGTGCTCAGCATGAAGCAGATTTATCAGAAACAGGTAGTTGACTTAATCTGTGGTCAGCAAAGGATATTTTATCGTTCATGACACATACAAGAGATTATGTGATTCAAACGCCTACATTGTACAGCTATACAGAGTTAAAGTAACATACACTACATAGGCAAAATCCAGTTTCTATTAAGAGATTATTGTACATTCCTAACACAAGCCAACAAAATTAACTTGTTTAGCAGCGCAGGGGAAAAAAGTGAGCATAATTCTCTATTTAAGTCAAAGAGGAAGRGAAGATTCTGCACCTCTGTCTGCAGGAGAGTGACAGGTGTTGGTTGTACCAGAGCCACCTGGCAGAGACAGGGCCGATGCTGCAATCACCATATCTGGTAAGACCAAGCACAGATGAAGCCAGAATGCAGTCAGGAGGAACATCAATAATCATGCCCTAAGAAAAGCTGCCCGATCTTGTTAAAAGGACACAAAGAAATGTAATGTATTAGTAATAGGTACGTGATTTTATAAAGTGTTAGAACCTCCACTGCCTATGTTAGACCGTGATCTTTGGACACAGACCCAAACCTAGAGAATATGTCAAACCACAAAGTGCACATCCATTTAACTTCTTAGTGAACTAACCAGCTCTAAGAGGCTGACCAGACTCTGAGGCAGGAGACTGTGAATGCAATTAAAGAAAGTGTCTTGCCTTCCCTCTTCAGCAAAGTGACCCCTGTGCACTCATTAAATTTTATTCTGCAGGTAATTGCTGACTAAAATCACAGCAAGTCTGCACCCAGCCTTGCTGGTCAAAGGAGGAGTCGCCTGCATTATGATTCCTTGCTGCTGAAGGTGTTTAATAAGAAGGGAGTCAGATTATCTGAGAGACCTACATAAATGAGAGCATTATTAATTGGCACAACAGAAATGGAAATGAGATGGTATTCATAATGGTTTATTTTTGAGGCAGAAAAGTGGATATGTTTTCCATGAACAGGGTGATAAATCAGTGCAGCTTCTATCACACTAATTAGTTAAACATGTTTTGCAGCGTTGGTTACAAAGATATTTTTGCATCAGATGCCTGCACAAGGCATTTACAAGGTTGCACTGTTCTGACACAAAGCATGCATAACAATCTATTAGGTAATCCTAATAAATGATAAAAACATAGTGTTTGATTAGTAGAATAAGCGATCTTGGTTATATTAGGGAATATGTAACCATGAACAGCTTACACAGAACCTGTAAATTGCATTTAAGGGGCTAAAAGAAAGCGACTGATGAGGTATTTTTTAAATACCTTTCCCATGGCATTGGCAGCTATCATTTACCTCATTCTGACCAAGATGAAGATAATCTGAGTATACAAGCAATAACAACTTGTCTGCTGACTGTAATATTCTCTATTGCTTACCTCAATTTCTGCAATAGGCTATTAACTTGTGTCTTGTTTGGCTTCTCCTTAACAAAGCTACAGTAACCTCTTTGTAACTTYGTGAGAGTTTTCACGCAACTGAAAGGACACATTTGACAGGGAATGAGAGCTGAGCAGGTTCAATTTTCCACCAGCTGCTAACAGAAAACAAGAAAATTGATAAGTGCTTTGTGTTGTATACCCAGTGACTGTCCCTCTAAACCAATAGAAAAAAAAAAAAAAAAAAAAAAAGTTTTTAAGCTGATCAGTGTTATATTATTTTTGGGGTGATTTTCATCACTATTGAAGGTTGGTATATTTGTCCAATTTTGAAAAAAACAAAAAAAAAAAAAAAAAAAAAAAAAAAAAAAAAAATAAAAAAAAAAAAAAAAAAAAAAAAAAAAAAATGTCCCTCTACCCAAAAAAAAAAAAAAAAAAAAAAAAGTTTATGAAAGGGAAAACTAATGTGAGGAGTGACATGCTGAACAAGCAGTAAATGGTTAATGTTCCCCAGCCCTGAAGCCAGGAATAGGCACCACTTAAGTCCTGTCCAAAAAAATGTATTAGCACCATCAGCGGAAACTGACACAGGATGCTGGCTCCATCCAGGGAGGAGTCAGAAGAGAAGGAACAATAAAAGACAGGCATTGAGGTGACATCYGCAGGGGCTTGAACAATTTCCAGAGAATGACTGTCTCATAAACAAACCGAAGCTTAACTGTTATCAGTCCCTGTTACAGATCATTACTATGTGAAACAATGAGAGCCATTTGTATCCCTTTCTCCCTGCAGGACATGTTTGAAGGAGAATAACCCTCTTTCCTCCTCCAGCATCAGCTTGTTACTGGCAGCACTGGCTATAACTGAATAAGCTTTATTCAAATTATATCTAAATTTAGCAGATATTAGCATGAAGTCTCTAGAGGGGTGAAAACTGTAGAAGAAAGCTTTAAACAAACAGACTCAAGTAACCCTGAATAATAGATGCAATTTATGGCAGAGGCAACCTCTGTCTAGCAAAGTTAAATCTGGATTTTGGGGACTTGCTGAYACAAAACATGATACCCTGTCCTTTCGTCCTGGCCTGTAACTACCCCTGTGATGGCAGGACCCCTCGTGTTGTCCACAAAATCAGGTTCATTACCGGGTGTGCAACAAGCCAATAATTACACACTTAGGAGAGACTTCTTTTGTTTATTCTAGAGTTGTGTGAACCTGGTGCTCAGGGACATTCCACAAACCAAGGACACCCACCAGACTTYGCACATTTATACGCAGAAGGTTAGAGTTTGTAACTTTCCAATTACAGCCCCTGTGTTGTGATGGGTTAGTAAGAGAAATTACATAACTTCAGCTAATTTTTGTGCAGGCTCAGGGCCTTCACCTGGGCAGGGGTCTTTCTGACCTTTAGGCATGACTTTTAGTATTATAGAGAAYATACATGGACCTTGAGTATTTTGCCAAATTAGCAATTGTATACATAGACATACATCAAAATCTTGATTTACTACATCCTTAAAAGTTTTTAGTTACAGGATATCCTTGAGTAGGGGATACTAAATTACTAAATAAGGGATATTTTCTACTAACATAGAACATCCTGACTTACTGCATCCTTCAAGTTTGTTAATTCCTGGATGTCCTTGACTAAGGGATGCTGTCTACTGCCACTGAGTCAGTCTTTTTTCTTGCTGATTAGCACTGAAAAAAAAATAGCACTTAGTTCAAAGATCTTGCATCAAAGAACGTCCTGAYTTAAGATAATCTTGATATGTCACAGAATCTGTTACAAGTCTCTGCCAAGTCAGGGTCACCTAGAGCAGGTGACACATGAATATGACCAGATGATTTTGAATGTCTCTAGAGACCTCCCTGGRCAGCCTGTTCCAGCGCTCTGCCGCCCTCAGGGTAGAGCAGTTCTGCCTCGTTTTGAGGTGACAATTCTTACATGTTAGCTTATGGCCACTGCTCTGTGTTGTGTCCCTGAGCGCCACCGAAAGGCTGCTGTCCCCACTGCCCTGTCCGCTGACACACGGAGCTGGCGGCCCCGCGGAGCTCCCCTCACACGGCGGGTGCCGGTTCCCGCCGGGCCGCGCGGGGCGCTGTGGGGCGGGGCCGCGCGGGGCGCTGTGGGGCCGGGCGCGAGCGCGGGGCCGTCATGTCGGCCGCGCTGCTGCGCCGGGGCTTGGAGCTGCTGGAGCCGCCGGGTGAGCCCGCGGGACCGGGGCTGTGAGGGAGGGCAGAGGTTGGCTCCCGGGTACGGCTGCAGTGACTCCGTCTCTCTTCCCGCTGCAGGCCGGGCAAAGGCGCCGCCGGAACTCCAGCGGGACCGGTCCGGCCCCAGGGCGGCGGGCGCGGCGAGGCGGAGGAAGAGAGTGCCGGAGCCCGGCAGGAACAAGACCACGGTCAAGGGCAGAGTCGTGAAGTCGGCGATAGGTGAGTCCCGATCCCTCGCGCCGGGCACCCTTGTGCTGTCCCGCAGTCACACTGCCAGTCTCTGTATCCATCCCACCCCATTTTCCTGCATGCCCTCTTGGGGTCGCTCAGCCTCATTTGTGGACGCACCCCTATTCCTGAGTKGTGGCGGCGTCTTTCTCCCGGGGCTTTGCTGATCCTCCTCTGTCTCTCATTGCGAGCTGCATGGATGAGCAGCTGATGTGTTTTGTCCCTTTCTGCCTTGCCCCAGAGGAGTACCATAGAAAGAAGCCTGTGAATCACTTGAGAGAAAATCTGAAGTACATGTTGAAGGGACGACTTGTTGCAGACAAAAACATCACAGAACAAGTAAGACTGTAATTTCTGTTGGGAGGTGTCTGTTTCCACTGAGTAACACAGGTGAATGGAAATCGAGCCTGGATTTTCCAGATTTATGCATTGCACAAGAGAGGCAAGTTTCTGTCTACAAATGGCCTTGAGGAATTTCTGTGTGCACTGGCAAAATAACTTACTAAGCTTTAAACTGTTGTTGATATGTTGCCCCCTATGATGTTCTCTGATACCAGTCAAAGTCAGAGAATCATAAAATGGTTTGGGTGGGAAGGGACCTTAAAGATCATCCAGTTCCAACAACGCTGCCATAGGCAGGAATGCCACCCACTACATCAGGTTCCTCAAATGTCCTGACATCTGTTGGCTTTTCTTAATTACTGAAAATATTTTGTCGTTTCAGCTGGAAAAGAAGCCCTGGTTCAGACCTTCTCCTTACTGTCGATCAAACTGGCCTTCTCAGTAGCTGGAGGCTGATTAATGAGGAGCCAGTTGTGCTGCTGGCTCATGTAATAGGAATTATGCAGCCTCTTAAATGGTGTTTCTCATAACCTGAGAATTTCTTGAGTGGTCTTCCCCAAAAGGTAGTCTCATACCAGGCTTTGAAGAGAAGAATAGCTGACAGTGGTAGAATCTCTCTTGTTTTTATGAGATGCAGAGTGTTAACTTACATAAATAAACCAAGTGGGTTAGGCCAGTGTTTTCTAGRCTGGAGATTGTGACAGAAGGTGACAGTGTATTAGTAAATGCTGAGGGAATCCRGCCAACTTTTTGGGTTGTCATGAAGAGAGGGGATAAAAAGAAGGTCATAGTTTCAGAAAGTTCTGAAATGAAATCGGTGTTTTTATTTCTATGACAATTACTAGAAAATACTTTTCATATTTGACTCCGAATACGAAGTTGGTATCTGTTATTCCTGTGACTTGCTTTGGTTAACATCAGTGTTGCCTCCCACTTTTTTTTGGAGGCACTCTGAAAAATAGCAGRGTTCTTGCAGAACAGCAGGGATGCTGCCTGTGAGCTTGAAAATCATTGTTTTGTGGTTTGGTCTGGATAATAGTGACTGTTGATTTTTGCATCTTTATCTTATCTGAAGGTTCTTGCTCAGAACAGAGGCAGAAAGTCCAAAGATCAGCCTCCAGAGAAGATAGAAAAGAAGAAGCCCGAAGGCACTGTGTTTACAGAGGAAGATTTCCGTAAATTTGAGAGAGAATACTTTGGGATACCGTAGACATCGTGACGGGGATTCTTGCAGCTCCAGTCTTTCTTCAGTCTGGCGCACAGGCCTGGGCATTTTCTTGGCATGTTTGAGATGGCACGTGGGGGATGTGTCTCCTCAGTGTTGGACTTGCAGAGCAGCTTTGCATCTAGGCAGAGCTTGTTAGTGGCCAGCTAAAGACACAGAGGTACTCTTGGCTCTCAGATGTCTTGTCCTTGTAATTATCTTTCTGCAGACGGCATAATGTAGAATGGTGGACCAAGCCAAATAAAAATCTTTTTCCCCTTCCTTACAATATAGAGCTTCTGCTACCTGTGTTATTTGGCAGAGAGCATTGAAAGTACTGTATCTGAATGGAGAAATTTTTTGGACCAGCATTAATGCATTTCTGGAAGGGAAAGGATGCTTTGAAAAACTGTTAAACTTGAGTAACCCTGCAGTTTGGGTTATTATTACAGCCCCTGTCAGGTCTGTCAGCCATGGCAAAAATTTTTTATATGTRATGTAATTAAATAATTGTTGCAGACACTGTCTCTCTTTGCCTTTGTAGTAGTGATTATTATGACAGACTACAACTGATGAAGATGAACCATGTCACTGCTGTGATCCAAGCATTCGTCTCCTTAGGGTGACTCAGTAGTGTGAGTGGCTTCTCTGATTCATCTTGACACATGCATTTAGTCATCTCGCTGACATGCTCAGGCCTTCAAAGAGTGCAGGTTGGAATGGAGATGACTCCTCCCTTTTGGCTACTCACAATCTTCCCTCTCTTGAAGGAAGAGCTCTCACATAGAGAAAGTTGTCCTTTGGATGTTTATGGTTGAGTGTCCCACTGAGATTTAGCCATGCCAGGAAGGTACCACTGCTGAGTGTTGCCAGGTCCTGTAGCCAGAAGGGCTTGTGACCCAGCTGTTAGTCTCAGCATCAAATTAAAATCTGAGCCTGAACTTGTGGTGCTGGGTTGAAGGAAGTTGTTTTCTCACGAAGTTCCCAGCTGTAATAAACAGAAGGCCCAGCAGGTGGGAGTGTTTTTCCAGAAAATTCCTCGCTAAACCACTCTAAATGTGCTTCTGAGGCGCTCCTGCAACTGCTTTTTCCTGACCTTTACCTAAGAAGATGGGAAATGTGTTCCSTTTGGAAAAAAACAGGTAAGGAGAAGGATAATGCCAAGCTTTGGTTGGGCTTGGGAGGTGATTATAAGGGACWCGTCTGACCTGAGCAGCAGCTGCTTGATGTCAGCACAGGCAGGAATTCACTTATCCCTTCCCTGCCCTCTGATTATAGTTCCTGGTGCTGTCCTCTTAATTCTGTGCCTCCACTGTTGAGTTCTTCTCCTCATACTTGTATGGGAGGGAAGGTCACTCAGCCAGATGAGATCCACACGGGAAATAGTGAACTTGTAGAAGTGTGTGTACTGGAAATAGCATGTGGGTGGGGATTTTGTGTAATAGGATCAAGTTCAACTATCTGCAGCCAAAAGTGGAAAGTACAGAACAGTTCAAAGAGTAATTCCCTTTATTTTTAGTTTGTTCTTGCCTCCAAAACTTAAAAAAGGTTAAAAAAGAAAAAAGCTTCTTGAAAGAATGGAAGCACTATTGTTTGAAAAAGCAAAATGTGAGCAAAATGTGTGTTCAGCACATCTCCCTAAAACTTCTGCACTGCCTGCTGCAGTGCACGTGAGCTGGCCTGACATAAGCAGAGCTGTCTGGAGGATAATTAACTGAAAAAGCTGGTTGTGCAACAACTTGATTGAAASAGGCAGATTTCTGGGGTGTTACTTTGTTTTTCTCCTTTGTCTGCAGTATTTGGCATTTCCTATGACCCTACAGAGCTCCTTCCTGTTATCTGCTCCTCTACCCATTTCTCCTAYGCACCCTTGTTTCTGTGGTTGCTCWGCTCCTGGGCCCTTCTCCTGCAGGCTGAGGGAAGCAAAACAGTCCTTCCTTGCTCCAGAAAAGGACAGGATGGTAATGCAGTTCACTCTCTTYGGACAAAACCCAGCCTGTTTGTTTGCAACTGTAAGCAAACAGGAAAGCTCTTTCAAAGTTAATGTGCAAYTTTAAAGTGATGCCCAGAGCAATTGTCCACGAGGATAATAACACTCAGATCAGTGGAGTTTCAAAGTTGGGTGGTAGCTCTCATTATTGGCTGCGAAGACTATTAGGGCCAACACAAGTAATCAACATACTTTTTGAGGCATTATGTAGTCAAGGAGGGTAAAGTTACCTGACAGACTGAATTTTGCCATTTGAAACTAAACTTGATTGTATAGTCAACAGTATCCTTAAATAAATTAAACTTTATTTTGTGGGAGGAAGGAAAAAGAAGCAGAAGTGAATGGTGACTCTAGAGGTTAACATTGGCAAGGGCAAAGACWTAACATGTCCCAGCCTTGTCTTTCCCCTTCTCTGGCAGGGCATGAGCTCTGGGGAAAGTAGAGCAATGCCACGTGAACTATGGGTGGATAAGGACAGGTGGTACCCCCTGAGGATGATGTCTTCAAAGCAGAGGGGAGAAACAGGTACCAGCCTGTTGCACRTGCCTGGTGTTAAGCTAAAGCCAGGCACTTTCTCATACTCCCAGCTGTCTAGCCATGCCCAGAGCATGCCAGCTCCTTGGCTGTGCTGGAGCCCCAGGAGGTGGCTGCCTTGGAGCAACCTACCCCAGCCCTGGAAGTGTTCAAGGCCAAGCAGGATGGTGCTTTGAGCAACCTGCTCTAGAGGAAGGTGTCCCTGGCAGGGGGGTTGGAATAAGATGATCTTTAAGGTCCCTTCCAACCCAAACCATTCTGTGATTCCATGATGTCTGGTCTTTGCAGTCAGACTTCTCTGCCTGGTGGAAGAGAGAAGCAGCAGCTGCCATACCTGCTGTTCCTAGGTGATCTCAAACCTGTTTCCCACGCTGGAAGCTTACAGGCTGCAGCCCACAACAACCTTTGGACCTGCTGGACAACATTTCTTTCCCATGTATATGCGAGCAGCAACGCAGGGATGTGTCCCACTGCTGCCAGGCCAGTGCTGTGTGCTTGCTGAGCTCATCAGGCTGCTGGCTCCCTTCCCAGCTCTGCGACACCAGCTGAGCATCCTGCAGTAGGAAAAATAGAGGTAGCTGAATTAGGGAATGGTGAGGGTGCCATCTTACAGGGCATCTCCACCCACATGCAGCAGGGAGTCAGAATGGGCAGTGGCAGCAGCAGCTTTAATATAAATGCAAATAAAAGCTCTGGAGCGTTATAAATGTGGTAGAACCTTTCCAGGGAAAATGTTTAGAATAGTTCCCAGATGCTCAGCCCTGAGCTAGCTTAGTGTGAATAAGATTCATCAAGCCTCTTCACGGCCTATTGCTCCCTTGTTATGTGAATGGAAAGGAAAAAAAGGAAATTTGTTCCAGTGGGTACAAGCTAATGTAAGCCCATACAGTGTCTGCTGTATCAGCAAGTCTCCACTTCTTTACCACAGAAAGCAACAACAGCTACTACCAGCACTATTTGTGTACTGGAGAGGGGAGGACTGCAAATGTAAACCAAGAAAAAATATGTTTGATCAGGACACCAAATTCTTGCCTCTGAAATGAAGTTGTTCTAACAAATCTGGCTGCCAATGAACTTGCTCGGGCAACTGAGATTGAAAATGCTGAAAAGGCTGTCAGGGAAAACCAAGGGGTAGGGGGAGCGTCCTAAAAACCTTTGCCAATATTACCCTCTGGGGTTTTTTCCATGACTGCCTTACTTTTCAGTGTTGCTGATGATCAAACAGCATCAGCACCTACAGCACTGACAGGCTTCCGAATATCTCAGGTGGAGACTGGCTAATGTAAAAAGGGTGCACRGCAGCAAGGCCCTGAATAACTCAGGAGAGTTACAGCAAAAGTAAGTTTCTCATTTTGAGACATAAAGACCCATCAATTCAAGTGGAAATGAGGAGTGTGAAAGAAGGCAGGCTGCCTACTGTCTGCTTACGGCTCAAAATATGGAACTCCAGCCAAGGCAGGCTGAAGGGTTGGTAGGTTTGAGAGGGATTAAAGGTTCGTATGTCTATCCATAGTTACATGAAATAGGATTAACAGAGCCAACCACTAACTGGTGGAGGCAGGGGACATAAAAAGCATGAAGGTTGCTCTGCAGCTGTCTACAGGGTKACACATTCCTTTTTCTGAAGGAATAAGCTGTTGGCAGGGCTAACCGGTAATGTAGCCATCTGCTCTGTCCTGAGATGCACTGTTTGCGTGCCAGCAAGATCCTTTATCYCCTTTGATGGGAGGCAAAGACCAAGGCTCATTCCCCACCTGCCCCTACACTGCAATAGAGATGCCAAGGAGTTTCAGGGTTAGGAGATTCTCTGCCCTTTATAAATTTAGCTGATGCCTCTGCTGTGCCTGGAACTYGCTCCCTGCCATTTCTTAAAGGGGTGTGTGCATGCAAAAGAGAGAAACAGAGCAGCTGAAGGAGAAATGAGAGGCAGCTAGCCATCACTTGGAGAAGGTGCACTCTGTAATAGAGAAATTGGAGCTTGTGGGTGCAGCCAGCTTCATTCAGTGACTTCATTCACTTGTGACACTGCATGAGTRCACTGAAAATAATGCAAAGGCAGCATACCTGGGACACCTGAGCAGCCAAAATAACATTGCCTAGGATAGGGGACTGAATTCCTCTGTTAATTCACAGGGCTGAAGCATTTCAATGGGAAAGTCAGCAAAGGTGGGCTCTGGGCCAGCAAGWGATGCTTATAGTATGACCCCAAGATGACCTTTTGCACTGGAAATGAAGTGTAACAGCAGTTTATGTACTGGACTGCATAGCAAGGCTGTGAATATAGCAGGACAGAAGAAGGTAGGATATCCCCAGAAGCTACATGAACTATTCATGAGAAAAAATTAGTATGCACAAGATGAAAATTATGCCYATAGGAAGGACAATAGAGATCCTGGATGTTTTTCTGAAGGATTAAGATAAAGAGGAAGATARAGAAAACTGGTATTGTTCTGGCCAAAAATGTATCATTTTCCACCCCCMAAAAAAAGGCTGTGAATGTACTATCACTGCGTGAAACTGTTTCCATCAGAATAAGTCACATTTTCTTTCTATAGTCCAGCTCAGGAGCACTGGAGCATCTATCTCCCAAAGGATAGCCTGTCCTTGCAGCTATTTCTGGGCTTTTTGCCAGGGTAAAAGCTATTTGGAAGATTTTATCATCGTTCGTCCTTCATTCTCCAACACTGCAGCTGTGGATTTATTTTTGTAAGCATCCTGCAAAGGTGTGTCTTATTCTTCACACAGGCATGTGAAGAAGTCATCAGCAGTGACGGTTTCCCCTGTTCCTTTTGAAAGAGAAGGGCATGCACCTGGGTCTCTCTAAAGGCTGGGTGAAGAGGAAGGTGGTTATAAATATTGTGATAACAGCAGAAACCAGCTTGTGAGATGGGGCTTTGCAAGCAGTGAACTGCAAGAGGTTGTTTGGCTATGTGGGGGAATACTAGAGTCCTGTTTACCATGAAGCACAAAATTGGCTGAGCGATCAGAGCCTGAGGGTCATGC